GCACTTCTCACGGTCACGAACCAGTGTTTCAGGTGCCTCCAGGTTCTCAGCACTCGGGAGAATGCTCAGCGACATGTTATGAGGTCTTATGCCCACAATCGCTGCGCTCTTGGACGCAGTAGCTACACGGCGGCAGAAGTTGTTCAACCTTTTTCACTCGAATGCCCCGTATGCAGCTTCACGGCTCAAGATCTCCGACAACTGCAGGTACACATACGCACACACTGTGCCCTGGGTGCTCCTACTCTCCCTCGGCCTCGGCTTCGACCGCGGCATGTCGCAACCAGACGCGGAGTCCATGGACCTGGAGCTGCTGATCAAGAAGCACAAGCGCAAGGCAGGCGACGGCGAGGACCTCGGAGGAGCACCCTCGGGGAAAAAAGGCCAACCTCGGGGACGCAGCAGACGAGGCAGAAGACGGTCTTCAGCAGGTCGAGGGGGCCCTTCGGGCTCGAGACATGCAGCAGGCCATATCGATTCTGCTCAAGATGGCGTGCATGCACGCGCAGCTGCTGAGGGACCTGGCGGCGTCGGAGTGGGTGTGCCTGGTCGTCCCGACGCTGAGCTTCCTGGTGGTCGCAGGGCGAGGAGCAGGCAAGATGTACGCGGAGGCGGCAGCCATCGCGGCAGCGAAGCCCCACCTGGGGCCACCACATTTGTACATAGCGCGCGGCGTGTTCAAGTCGATGGTCGATTCAGAGAAGCTGCAGAAGTTGGGGACGCAGGCGTACCAAACCCTGGTCCTTTTTTACGAGAAGTTCGTGTCGATCAGCTCGGCCGCGGAGCTAGGATTAGTGATCAGGCACTTCCGTTTGAAGAAGTGCTACAACGAGGAGTACACACGACTGCAGTTCGCGATCGGCGGGGACATCACGGTGCAGCTGGCGGACGCTCAAGGGGGTCCGCCCGAGCGTCATCTGAGCAAGCTGGAGGTGGAGCAGTCGATCATCAAGCTAGCCCAGCTGGAGGACGCGAAGCTCAAGCTCGGGACCGCCCCTCAGGGGCACTTGGAGACCATGGCGCAGCGCATCCTCGACAAGACGAAGCAAAAGAGCAAGGGCAAGGGCGCGAAGTAAGTCAGCCAGATTCGGTCCCCGCCCCGTGGGAGGCTCGTCGGGCTGCCCTCTTTGCCCGCATCAGAGCACGGGAACTCTCGCAGAATGACATTGTATGACGGACGTGGACAGCACCTCCATATTCTGAGTTCACGAACTATCTTTCCGAAGGAGCGTTGTGTACCGGAGGATCTGAGGTTGGTGGACTCCCGCCGACTCGTGCTTCAAGTCTATGAGACGGAACCCCTCGTCTTACTTGACTGCTCACAGTTGGCTCAGATGGACACTTACTTTTTACAGATACTTGACAGTACATACTCAGACGGGCTGGTCCATACGTCCTCCTCGCACCCACGTACCTGATGCCGCCGCCCGACTTCGGCGTCTGCGCGCTCTCTCTCGTTCTTTGATGATGTTATGTGGTGTATTCGCGGCTTTGTGTGCACGCCCGCGCTGACCACCACCGAGTACCTGACTGCCACGTGACCTCGATGCCCGAGGCCCCGTTCCTCTAGGCCGCGCCGTGCGGGGGGCGCGGTGCGAGTGGGGACTGCCCGGCGGTGCGCCGTTAGTGACCCTCGCACCGTTGCTCCCCGGCCCCGCGCACTCCTCACTGTTTCCTCGGAGTGGCTATCTTCCAGAATTCGGGGACCCACACTCCCCTCCGTTGCTTCCTCTGCTCTTCTCCTGCTTTGGCCTCGCCCTCTCGCCTCGTCGCCCTCTCTCCCGCGTCGTTCCCCTTTCGTCCGTCGCTTGCTGGAGTGTGGGTCCCTCCTCGGGGCGGGGCGGGTGCCTCGGAGGCCTGCCCGTCGCCCGCAGCGACGTGGGCTCGGCACTGGGAGGCCAGTGGGGTGTCCCCCCCAGCCCTCGAGGGGTCTCACGATTTGCGACTGCCTGGGTACGAGCACGTACGACAGGCTGCACGGCGCGCGCTACTCACGACCTCATCGCTCTCGCTCGATGATCGTTCGAGGTAGGGCTCTGATTGCACGGGTTCACGCGCGGTCAGGGTTCGGCACAGACCACGCGCAAGGCCGAGTCTTCTTCCTCGTCCTGTTCCTCCTCGTCCTGTTCCTCCTTTTCCTCCTCCTCCTCCTTCTCCTCCTCCTCCTCCTCCTCCTCCTCCTCCTCCTCCTCCTCCTCAGCGTCAGCGTCCTCGTCCTCGTCTTCGTCCTCCTCCCCCATTCCGTTTCCCTTTTCTAAAAAGTGTCCCCTGTCGCACCTCGGTGCTGGTCGAAGGGGCGGGATGGGCTTTTCGCCTGAGACTTTTTCACCACTTCTGACCCTGAAACTGAGAAGTTGGCAACGAGCACATTCGAATTAAACCGTTGCACGAGCTTCACGTATTGAGTCGGGTGGTTTTCAAAATGTGGCTCTCGCCTCAGCGCCGCGCAGGCTCATTTCTATAATTCGCAAGCAGTCCACGGATTGAGGGCGGGCTATTTTGAAAATGTGGCTCTCGCATTTGCGATGTGCGCATTCGTTTTCAACATGTGCAAGGGTTACACGGATTGATGGCGGGTCGTTTTCAAAATGTAAGTTTAGCTTCAGCGCCGCGCACATTCGTTTGTAAACTTTTGCAAAACGGTTTCACGGATTGTGGGCCACTCCTTTTCAAAATGTGGTTCTCGCGTCAGCGACGCGCAACTTCCTTCTTCAAAGCTTGCAAGAGCATCACCGATTCCCATGGTCAGCGTACCAGGATTTTTTTTTGAAAGACTCAAGATCATGAGGGGGAAATAGTTGTTATGCTTCGCTGTGTTGAAGTCCCAGGGATGGCACGATTGAGGATCGTCAAGACGCAACAGTCATGTTGATCCGTGGCGTTTGAGTCCCGAGAGTAGTGTCGTTGCACGGTTCAGGTTCTTCAAACGGTCGTCTTCCAACGAGGCAGTTCCCTCAGTGGAAATGAGCCGTTATAGACGCCTACGAAGAGGGAGTTTGGAGGGAGGGTGTATTCCAACATCGTGGATGACTCGCGGGGTTACACAGCTTCTCCTCTTCCTCCTCCTCCTCGTCTTCCTCCCCTCCCCCTCGTCATCATAGCCTTCTATTTCCTTGATGCACAATCTCTCGATTGCGAAGGCCTTACGGCCGGTGCCGCCGACCCTGTTCGCAATGCGCAGCATGAGGCACGGGCTGTGGGATGGTTTGGGGGAACGGGGAGAAGGACGAGAAGGTGGGGGAGGGAGGTGTCGTATCTGACCCGGGACTTCCCCGGGACTCCCCCGGGACCCCCCCCGGGACCCCCCCTCCCCCCCCCGTCGGGGAAGGGAAAGGGAAGGGGCTTCCCTTCGACTCAATTACGACGTTGCTCAAGGTCGGTACGGGGGGGGGCGTCGTATCTGACCCGGGACTCCCCCGGGACCCCCCCCGGGACCCCCCCTCCCCCCCCCGTCGGGGAAGGGAAAGGGAAGGGGCTTCCCTTCG